GTGTTAGAAACAGCAAAAATAGCTGTTAAACACATACATCCTTTCTCCAATGTGTCTCTGAAAATATAAAAATTAACTGATGATTAACTGTGTCTCAGTGTTAAAGCTCTGTCAATTATGCAGGCCAGCCAAAGGTGGACAAGCATCCCACTGAGCCCTTGGACTTGAATTCTCTTCATGCTTCAGTCTGAGCCACTGTTTCAATTACTAGGGCCAGGAGCCTACCAGTATTCAAACAAAAAACCAACAGCATAAACAACTCCCCCCATTGCTCAAAATGCTGTCTGCATGTCCACACAGCTTAATACTCTGGAACAAACCCTGCAGGCCACTGTTTATGTCAAGTTTGCCAGCAAGGCTGCTATTAAAAGTCAAAAAAGTAACACAGCTGCAAGACTTATCTGTGAAGATGTGTATTCTCCACACCTCAAGAGTGGCAGTATGATGATTCTCACAGTTCAAGAACAATTTAATCAGTGTAGGAGTTTCCATAAGCAGCATGTTATTTAAACGCATAATGCTGAGAGTGTTTTATGGTCCAATCATCCCTAAATGGACCAATTTACTTTAAACACAGAACTGTACCACTGGACATTAATAACATTAAGTAGTGGGGAAGCTGCTGCCTACAGAGAGTTATTGCCTACAGAGAAAATCAGAGGCAAAACACAGCCAGTGTCTCTGACGTACACATGATGTAAATCCTGCCCAGACGTGGAGCTGTTCTCTGCAGGACCTGCATCAGCCACTTGGACAACATGCAACTGCACTTTTCTGGACAACTAATGAGATTACAGCATCCACAGCTACCTCAGCTACACACCAGGAATACTTTATTCAATTACAGTATTAATGCCATTGCATAAACCTTCTGCCACCCATACTCACTCTGCTGCTCACGTTACAGCTTTTACAGTCGTTGCTTTACATGAAAAATCTCAGTTTAATTTGTGGGGAAAAACTGTTTCCTGAGTCTTGGCAGTAATGTTTCTCTGGCTTAGGTTTAAGTGTCACCCACTGGCTGCCTCACAAAGCCACCAAGACTAACAAGCTTACTCTGAATCATTTTTCTAATAGCAAATTGCTAACTTTGCATCTTAGCTCATTTAATTTGCTAATGAAACCCGATTTCCCCTCAAAAGGGGAAATACTTTCTTAAAAGGACACAACAACCAGGCTTAGCAGTGTGGGCATGGTAAAAACATAACAAAACCCAAATCTGCCAAACTGTGTTATAAGAAGGAAGCCTAGAAATTTTTAAACATTCACAAACTATTATCTGGACATTATGTTATCAAGGTAGAGGCAACAGTGCTATGAAAGCTTCTGGTCCATCTCTGCACCAGGTGCTGCACTGAACGTGGGCCACGTTAACAGAACCCCCACACCCACAATTCTTCCACCATCTCCAGATCCCTCATTCATCTCCACCCAAAAACCAGACAGCCCAACTCACACCACTGCTGGCAGTTCTACATTCTCCAGTGTCATTTTATTTGATGCTTAAACAAGCAAGAGGCACTTTAATACAGAAAATAGGACACACTATAGTACCAGATCCCACTTTGCTTGGATCTGATCATATTGCAGTGTCCAAGGAAGGCAACATGTTTATCTGCTTTATTATAAAATCATGTTCCACTCTTTAAATTGAAGAGACAAACTCATGCAAAATTTCCTCTACCTAAAGACCTACAGGAGATAAAGCAGAAAAAGCACAGAGTGCACAAAGTGCTTCACTGTTTACTAGTATTATACATTCTCTCACAGAAGAATTTTAAAAAGATGATTCCAGACATATTAACGGTTTCTCCAGCTCTCCAGCACAATGGAAATGCCTGTTATTACAAATCATTGCTCGTCTACAGCTCTTCTAAGTTTTCCTGGAATAGTTTAACTGCAATCCATAAGTAATCTGTTCGCCATCGATTTAGAACTAAAACGTGTCGCAGCACAATTTAGTATCTGCGGTTTCAGGCAATCACTTGAGTGCTTTCAAAACCCGTAACAGAATGTCACAGTGACATTTTTAATGCTGCCTGACTATTTATATTGAGTGCCCAGAATAAAGCCAAGCAAATGAAAAGAATTTAGGCAAACACAATTACGGCTCAATTGACTGCAAAACAAAACTTCCCCTACTACATAAAATACAGGAGTTTAGGAGTTTAGGAATGCTTTTCCTCTGAGCCTTAGAAGTCATAAATCGATTTATGCAAGAATCACTTTGAAGTCTACTAGAAGTTGTTTGCACTTTCAAGGCTATTGGAAGTTGTTTGCTAGAGATTTCTGAAACAATCCTATCTGTAAAAGGCTGAAATACGATGCTCTAAACACTTTTTATGGTAACCAAACAAAAAACTAGTCAAGATACAGATTTATGTTTTTTTAATTAGAAGGAAGGGCTAGAACACAAGCTCAGAAACCTGCAGTTAAACAGCCCAAGACACCTAGGGAAGCTAAATTCTCCTACTAATGCCATCAATCAGAAGTTTTTTATTGACTTCAAATAGGTTCTATTGTGAGTCATAACACAAGCTGCCAAAAAAAACCCCAGATGTCTTTAAAAATATGCATCAATAAAGCTTCTTCAAACTCAGTGGTTTCCAAAGAGTGTTATTACATTTATGTTTAAGATTACAAAGAGAACTTGCTCCAGAGGGTTCTGCAGCAGGCTGATGAGCTTTACAGCTAAATCCATTTAACTGAACGTTATGAGTATGGAAATGGAAAGCTGAAAAATGGAGCTATAGGCAATTCTCATAAAGGGCAAGCTGCTCAGAGACACTGCCTAGCAGCACATCCCAAAAACAAAGAGAGCTGCTCTGTGCAGCAGCCAGCATTTCACAGTTATACTACCAAGGAAGGAGGAGAATGAGGTGTTAAGGACCATTTTCATTAACATTAGATTTCGTGGAATCAAGCTACAAGTTATTAAAATGCAGCAGAACCTGGAGCAGAGGGTGCTGAGGGCAGCTGGGGTTTATCAGACATTACTCTGTGAAGCCCATGGACGTGGAAGTGGTCCCTGTGTCAGCCACCACCCGCATCCAGGATCTGCAAACTCCTCCTCCAGCTGCCCCAGCACCTCTGCCACATACCCAGCCCTGAACATGTCACACAGCTGAAGAACAGAGTGTTTTTAAGAAGCCTGAAGCCCAAGGAGGGTTTAAAATAAAAATTCGAGTTTCCAGTCACAGAGATGTCGAGGTGTGGGAGCTTGTTGTGGAGCTCCCTCTTGAGGTTAGAGACGAGCCTGAAGTAAAGGAATTGCTATATCCTCATAACTGATTCTGCTCAGAACGAGAGCATGTCCTTGCAAGAGATACTATCAAAGGCATCTCCTCAAACCTCTGTACTCCACAGACAGCGTTAGATGCTTTTGAGTTACAAGCACTGCAGTCTTAGGAAGACAGTGAGGAGATAAATACGTGTCAAACACAGGGAGATAAACTCAGAGACACTTTATTTACACAGAGTTGGCAGCCACTGCAGGAGCAGGAGACAGCAAAACCTCCGAGACTGTGAGCCACGAAACGGAACAATACCCACTGATGATGAGAAAATAACAGTGCTGGCTCTTTGTAAAGAAACTGCAGCTTCACCAGGTTTATTTAATACTGTTCAAATGTCTCTTTCTTGGGGTGACAGTTTAGCTACCCTAAGCATCCATCCATCCATCCATCTCCCTGCTAGACTGACCTTGTTCCACAGCACCTGAGAGCATCAGCCCGGTGCCTTTGTTGCCACAAGCTGCCACATGGGCTGATACCTCTGGGGTTTAATGTGATGAATCAGTGTTTACCAGAGTCTGGAAAACTCTTTAAAGGGATTCTGCTGAAATTTCACTCTTGAACCCAATATCTTTCCACAAGCTTCAGAGGGCCCCCACAGGAAAGAAGCTTTCAACACAGAAATTCTTGAGGAAAGGATTTCTCCAAACTCCTGTTGAGAATTTTATCCTCTATCAGTAGAGTTAAAGGTTCAAAATCAGATTGCCAAGGAAGTCTTTTGGAGCAGTGCAAGAGACAAAAGAACAAGCCTTGCCTGTGATGGTCATATCTTAGTACTGCTGAGCCCCCACTCAGCATTTTCCTCAGTCCTTGAGCAAACAAACATTCCTGCTGGCCAGCTGAGTCATCCCTGACTACCTCTGCCTCAGGACTGTGAGGCTAATGGATTTCTATGAGAATCCAGAATTCAGAAAAAGATTCCTTTTCTTCTAGTCATACTTTTCCAGGAAGGCTCTCCTTGCCATTTTTCTTTAATCAGAGAAACATTTTCAACTCTTTTCCAGCTCAGGTTGTAAGGTCTTCCATAGACTATCAGTCACATCATTTTAAATCTTACATCCTAAGGCAAGGTTTGTAGCTTTAGTAAGCTTTCCTATTTTAGGGCAGAACTTGAAATGTCTCAAACAGCAACACACAGCTCATTCAGTTGTCCTCAGTGATTAGAGTAACACTAAAGAAACACACCACTCTAGAGAGATGCCAGCTCCTCCCACTGCATGTCCTGCTGTGCTGGAAACCTGAAAGATATTTGTCATTTCATAAATCTTCATTGGATGTATCAGTCCTGACACAGACTTGCTGCTTTCAGATGCCAGGTTACAGCCAGATCATCTTCTAAAGCAGCACAAGTTTTTTAATTAACCCTCTGCTAGAATCCTCCTCCTCTATATTCTGTGAGAAATACAAAACAAGCAAGAAAGAACTGACCCAAAAAAATTACCACCTAGAATCAGATCTTATTCAATCAGCACAGAAACTTCTGGAAATTGTGCACAACTCATCAGCTACACCAAGTGCAAGACTAAAAAGAATGAAACTTGGATCCTGAAAGGCTTCTCTACTGCCAGAGGGCATTGACCTAAAAGTTTTGGCTTCCTACAACCAAAAGACACAAGCTACCAAAAACATCGAAGCAGGCTGGCAATATATACAACAGCCCACATGAAGTCTTAAGGAATATTCTAGAAGTCAGAGATGTTCTCTTACTTTTCATGGTGCCCTCCTCCTCTTCCTCTTCCGTGTTTATGACCATGGTACCCAGCTGGGACTCCAAGGTGCCATCGTGTTCTATCATGGTGTTGGCTCCGTCACTCATGGTGTTCACAGCTCTTATGGTTCCAGTTTCATCTCCACTTGCCCTCACCATGGTGCCTGAATCGGTTTCATCTTCCTCCTGTACAAAGATGCCATAAATACATATTTACTGATGGTGGTGAAGTCCCACGAGGAATGTCTGTCTCCAAGGACACTGGCAAGGCTCACTAATTCAGAGGTTTTTACACACACACACACACACAGAAGCCACATTTGGTTTATGCACTTAGTTCTCCCCCTGTCATCTCCAAACAGGTAATGAAAAGTCTTCATACTTTTCTGCCAGCATGATAAATAAGAGAACAGATAAAATAACCAGCAGAAGCTTCTCAGTGCAAGTTGTATCTCATTTTCTCATTTCTGACCTGGTGATGTGTCTGTAAGAGTAGATTACAACACTTGTTCAGTCATTAGTGTTTCTATTCATGCAGCCAGTTCTAAGAGCTGACCTCAAACCACTATCTCAAGTGCTACAGTTCACTGAGGAGTCATTATTTAATGACAGCAACAGGTCTAAGTCTGCAGTGTTGGTGGCACATGGAAAGAAAACCCTCATCCTACTTTTTTTTCCTATCTCTAGCATTTAGGTAGTTTTACTTGCTCTAAATTTCAAAAGCACTGAAGAAAAATGAGCTCCATTTGCAAATCTTTGAAAAGGATTCAAATAAACTACCAAAGTTTAGTAATTTTTTTCACTGAAAATTATTTTTTATCTTTCCATTTGTTAACAGGCACTACTACTAAAGAAGTTGGAATTAACTGCTGTCAAGGTTTAAGAGACTGACTTTGTAGGAAAACACAAGCTCTTCAAATGAATTCTGGTGGAACAACTTCCTGGTAGAGAGTTACCTTAGCCAGAGGTAGCCAGAGGTGCTTCACTAAGTGTATATTGTGAGTAGGATTTAACAAAGAATAAGGTCAAAATTTCCACAATCCATTTAGTTTCTTGGAAATGTGGACCAGCTGTCCAGCTGCAGGAACACAAATCACTTCCTAGGTTTAGAGTAGAGCTTTTAGGTATCTCACCTTAGATGAGATGCTCAATTTAGTGTTGTTCTAAGGATGAAGTTCACATTCTTGATGTGTGACCATGGCCTTACAGATGTGTATTAGTGTAAGAGGGAAAACACAGGCATTGCACATCAAGCTGCAATACTCCACCTCACTGTCATGGAAAGGAAGAAGTAAACCCCTCCATGGTGTTCCCAGAATGTGTCAACAATGTCTACAAAATTTACTTCCCAACCTCAAAACCAGTAGCAAGAGAGGAGAAAACTACACAAGGTGTTAATGGAGGAAAAGCAGTTTTATGTGGAGATGAGTGGGTGAGAGGAAGCAATAAATTTGTTTGCTACAAATTTAACAAAGGACCACAGCAGAAGTTTCCACAGTGCTTGGGAAGTGCTTGGGAATGCTTTTCTGCTCGCAGACATGGAGCAGACAGGCTTTGGGAAAACACACAGACGACTCAACTCTGCTACACAGACACCATCTCTCAGCAACGTGACCCCAGATCAGTCAGAAATGCAGAAGAGAGAGTGGGGACAATACTCAGGGTAGGGACAATACTTGTAGAGTCGACATCATGGCAACATGACCCATAAAGTTACATCCACACTGAATAAATATGCAGCCCTAGACTGGAAAACCAGATGGAGAATGTGTTCAGCACAGACACTGTGGACCATGCTGTTCAAGTCTAACCCCTGAACAGGGCTGGCATACAATGCCTGGTGTTGCCCATTTCATTTATTCAGGCTGAAGCAGGCAGAGACTCAAAAAAAAGCTTTCAACATGCTTTTCAAATTCACATGCTGTAACCACTGAAACAAGGAGCTGAACTGCAATTCACAGCAATCCCCTGAACACTTCCCATGCCCTCACCTCAGGCTTCTGTCGGTTGCTCTTGTGTAGAAGAAAGTTTCTATAAGGGAGGTTCTAAAGCACAACAATAGTAAAACAACACAACATACTTATATCATAGTGCATCACAGATGATATCATCATTTTATACTAGCAGAGCAGTCTAAGACCTGAATCCACAATGAAAAATTCTCACTACTACATAAATAATATAATCCAACTGGGAAAATGTATCAAGTCTTCTGCATACAGGTCTTTGTAGCCCTACTCAATCACAGGTCTATAAGGTGGACAGTAAGCCACAGATGCTGCCTATCCCACCCAAATATAGCTTGAGCAGGGACCAAGCACCAGGTTAAACAGTCACAAAGCAGAAAACTCCAGAACTAAGTCAAATCCACTGGCAATTGAACAAAATATTGCAAAACCAAAAAACCAGAGCAGCTAAGCCTTATGAAAGCAGCAAGAGTTTGGACTTTGTACAGTGTTACTATTAAATACTCACTGAGTTTTCTTCATCCTCTTGATCCAGTTCACGCTGCTGAGCCTCCTGACGTTTCAGCTTGATGTCCATCGCTTCGTTAATCAGGTCTCGCAGGATTGAGACTCCTTTGGCACTTTTAACAAATGGATGCTGAGAAGTATTTTAAAAACAAATAAGCACTGCATCCGAAGCAAGGCGTAACAGTAAAAGGCTATTACTGTGGCCTACTTCAAATTAAATTGAGGTTTAACTCGAAACATGACTGAAATGACAATCCAGTACTTGTGTTTGGCACAGGAAGGAGACATCCCACCCTCCAAAGAGATCATGCTGCAAGGGCCCTGCTGCTGTGAGACCTTGGGCTCATTCCCCCCTCCACAACTCTGCTTACTTCTCTCCTTAGCAGCTTAGCTGTCAAGAACCAGTTACACAGACCATTTCCATGCCTAGACCATTCTGAGCAACCACTTTCATTTAGCCTCCCCTGTTTAGTGTTTTAAGTTTCTTGGCAGTGCTGGTGAGAATTTGAAAGTAAAACAAACCCAAACAAAACCAACATCAAACTCCAAAAGCCAAAACAACAAAAACAACCCAGAGAAGACAAAGGAAGTTGAAGTTAGACTGGTTCTCAGAGAAGAAGTGAAAAGCTGAAGTTGAGTGTGAGTTTTTTAAAACTGAGATATTAAAAAGTAAAACCTGTAGTGAACAGGAGCAGCGAGAAAGGAAACCAAACATCCCAACAGCCACACAGCACTGCCTACCCTGGCAAGGCTTCTCTAGAGCTTATGTTCTAGTAAGAAAAGGCAGACCTGCAGCAGTTGTGTTGCAGTGGCACGTTGCTCCGGGCTCTTCACAAGACACTGTTTCACAAAGTCAGTGAAACTGTCTGACCAGAGCTCTGGTTTGCGGAACGTTGGGGGGGGGTTGGTGGGAATCATGAAAATCGCCTGAAAACAGAGGAATATCCTGGAATTCCAAACAAAGCTTAAAACGTTCCAACGACACAATATAAACACACCCAAACACACACTGGCACTAAAGGATGATGGACATTGCCACGTTTGCTGCTTCTGAAGAGTTCGTGCCAATATTACACATGAATCTGCTCAGAGGGATCGAGTAGCAAGAAAACAGACTTTTCTCACTAGGTGCTTCCATCTGGCTGAGCCATTATGTGCCCCAAAAGGCATGAATATGCTAACTTCAAATCTTAAAAAATTGTGCTTGCATTAAAAAAAAACAACAAACACTTTGGATAATCCAGCTGAAAATATGTTTCTTCATACCCAACACTGAGCTTCAGCTCTGTCTTAACAGAAGAGGATTGTGATTTTTTTTTCTTCCCATGCAGATTCTTCTTGACAAAGACCTGTTTTTCGTTTAACCAACACTACAAAAAACTGGCAGAAAACAAACAACTTGCACTAAATTAAAAGCAAATGGCAGGTTGGTATGTTACTCAGCCAGCTGCAACAGCAAACCCTTTCCATATAGCAACACATTTTAAGAGGCCACAGTCCTTACCCTCATGGGATGAATATCTGCATATGGTGGCTTGCCTTCAGCCATTTCTATTGCAGTGATTCCCAGAGACCAGATGTCTGCAACACAATTATACCCAATTTCCTGAATCACTTCTGGAGCCATCCAAAATGGGGTCCCTATAACTGTGTTCCGCTTTGCCATGGTGTCCTGAGAAGAAGAGAAGGATAAAGAACCAGACAGTGGCAACTGTATTAGCCACAAACACTCATTAGTGAATTATCACCCTAATTATCTTGCATGCACACATATTATTAGGCTCAGCAGGACTGGGATATGGAGGGCTGCAAAGAGGAATTGAAATGTCCTCACAGGAGTTAAAAATATCCCGAAGAAAACAGCAAATGCTATTGTAAGCCATTACTCAGGTATAACAGCTTCCACAGAGCAAGCTCTGCTCTAGTCTGTCACTAGTTTACAATCTCATTATGCTGATGTGAAGTGCTAAACAACAGCTATGAACAGTTTCTCAGTCTCCACAAGCCCATCACACTCACAGACAGATTAAAAAGACAAACTGAAATGCACACAAACATCTTGGTTTTACTCACTGTAAGCTGTCCTGCCACTCCAAAGTCTGCAAGTTTAGCATGTCCCTCTGTGTTTAGCAATATATTTCCAGCTTTGATGTCCCTGTGTATTTTCCTCATAAAATGCAGGTACTCGAGTCCTTTCAGTGTCGACTGCACTATTGTAGCAATTTCCTCCTCTGTGAGCTAAAGAAGAGAAGAGTTGCTGCCAACCTGGCAGTGCTGAGACACAGCACTGTAGTGCTTTGGTCTGTATGTTACTGAGATTCACTAATTGCCATTTAATTGCCTTCACTAAAGGAGGTGACACTAATGGGGAATTAGTTTGTGACTGACAGCATTGTGTAGCAAATTAGATTATAATCAGCATACACATACACACCTACCACATTTCACATACCATAACCCTTTCCCAACTTGTAATTCCTACCCTGCAATAACCAAAGTAGGGTAGAGTAGAGTCTTACTTGGAATCAGTCTGGCTTTTCAGGAAAGCCAACACACCCAAATCTGCTCCTCTGATTAAATTATCCAGATAACCAAAACTCAATTAATGGAATCACCCTTTCTCAGTTTCAGAGGAACAAGGGACCTGCACCTGAAGTTATGGCAAATGGTTGTCAGGCATTGAACACTGTAAGAATTTCCTTGAGCTGCTGGACACCCACACTTCCCATCCACACATTCAAAGGAGAGAGGACGTACAGTTTTGTTTCGTAACCGAATAATGTCAGACACGGATCCAGCGCCGCAGTATTCCATCACTATCCACAGGTCCGTGTTCTTAAAATAGCTGCCATAATATTTCACCACATGAGGACTACGAAATGTGAAAGAAAGAAGAAAACAAAGGGTCAAATACCAGTAACCAGCATCACTGAATAAGCACAATACACACTGCTGAACCCCTAAGGATGTTTTAGAAACTCAGCGCTGAAATGCCACCAAAATCCTGATCAAAAGTGTTCCAAACTACCCTGAACCCACACAGGGCTACCACAGTCCTGCCAAGTCTGTTCCCACTGCTCATATGACCTGCCAGTAAGTCACTTCAGGGAGCTAAACTGTCAGACAACAAATCCTGCGGAAATGAGGAGTGATTAGCCTTCAGTCTGGTTTAACCCCCTGGACAGGGTTACAACAGGGTCAGTGCTGGGGCAAGCAGGAAGGCAGGACAAGGGAATGGGAAACGTGCCACAGCAGTCCCTGGTAAAGCTGCTGCAGAGCATTTGGCACCAAATGGAAACATTAAATAAAGTCCACAATTTGTTGGGAAACAGCTATCATGTTCATTGAAAGGAACATTCCCCCATAGCTACACGCACCTATTTGTTTCTACAGTTTAGCCCAGGATATATTTTAAGATCTCAGTACAACTGTCTCTCTGTGAGCTATTTGGCTGCACAAAAAACCAAACAACCTAGTAAAGTACATTGGTCTGAGAAACCATCTGTTCTCTGGAAAAGGTAAAGCTGAAACTAACAGAAAGAATGTCCCTGATTTTATGGGAATGGAGCTAAGGAACAAAAGTGTGTTTAATCTACTCTCTGCTGAACATTTTCTAATGAAAAACCAAAAACTAGCAGGTCAGTCACACTGCAGTGTCCCATTATGCTTGCACAGAAAACGTGATGCTCCAGTGATTCACTCCCTCTGCTGTTCACAACTGTAAGGTCTCATTTTAGGCCTTAAGATATTAATATTTAATTTAAGAGACACCTAGTAATGCTGTCCAAGTTACACAGTAAAATTTTTCACAAGAAATTTCTATTCAAGTTAAGTTTTGCTGTCTGCCCCCAGTCACCTGCATTTACAAACAGGGAGAGTGGAGTGCAATAAGAGCGAGTGGGACCACAGTTTTATACTGCTCATGTAATTTATTTTAAATGGCTTTCCATGCCTCAAGTCCTTCAAAGTAGTGTTTCTTAAAGCCAGATTCATGACACCAGAAGAAATGAATGCATTTTAAACCTTCAGCCTTGGGCACACTTTGAGAAGGTCTTCCCTACCCACAAGCTCTTCATTAGCCAAGTCACTGCAGCATCTTTTCCCACAAAAACATGCAAAGACAGCCCAGAGAGCCAACCATCAGCCCATCAGCAGAGCTGCCAGCAAGTTATTCTGGGGATGCTCAGATCAGCTGGTCCTGCACTGGAGCCTGCACAGGCAGAAAACAGCCGGGAAGGACAGTCCTGCCACCCGAGCAGGTGACGGCACGTAGGTCGTGCACATGCAAGAGCAGTCATGCGTTAGTGGCTCCCATCCACGTGCTCCTTAAAAACAAAACCAAAAAAACCCTTCTTCTAAGAGTTTTCTACGTCCTGTTTAGAAGCCATCCCCCCCTGTGGAGGCAGGAGCTGCTGTTTAGCACACAATCAAGTTACCACTGCTCGACAAGCGACGGTGCACGGGCAGAACCGCAGCAACCGCTCACACGCTCGGCTCGGGGCTGGCAGCAAGTGCAGGGTTATTCGACTGAGTGCTCTCTCGTTGCAAGCTGAATTTTTGTTGTCTTACCTTTGCACTACCCAAACGCTCAGTTAACATGACTCAGCTGATACGAGGTAACTTGATTGTTCAAGTCCGGCCTTTCAAAAAACATTTAAGGCAACATCACGGCTTTTATTCGATGAAGTGCCAGATCACAGGCAACACTTTTCCTCACATCCCAGTGATGGGTTTTGCAGCACACACTTACCTGTCACATTGCTGCATTATGGATATTTCTTTTATAATTTCTTGCAGGTCAGATTCCACAGGAACTTGTTTAATTGCAACAACCTGACCCGTTTCTTTATGAATGGCTTTGAACACACTGCCATAGGAGCTAGGAAACAAAACATGAAACAAACACTGAAATGCACTAACATTTTAAAAATGCAAATATTATGGCTTTGCTTTTTGCAAGTGTAACCATCAAGGAAAACGTATCCTTCTGTTAAAAATATTTTGTATTTTAACATAAATAATCACTCTGGTAGTTTCTAAACACTGCAATACAAATAAGTCACAGCACACTGAGACCGTGAGAAAAGAGCCAACCATCGTGACATTGACAATAGCTTTGGAATGGCCTTTTGCACAAATCCAACAAATAAAATTCTCTCTTTCCAGCATACAGTACAATCTGAGCACCAGTAAGAACTACAGCCCTGGTCAGATATTATCATTCGTATTTGCAGCTTCTTTCATACAGCAGCCAGGCAGATTTATAACTCAGTTTTTCGACATGAACTGCTTAAGGCAGCAAACATGCCAGTCACTGACTGTTCCCATGCTGCTCTGCCTCACCAAGTGGCACAATGCTGCTGAAGTTCACTTCCACCAGGCAGATCTTCCACAAGAGGTACCCAGGATAAACTACAAAAACCTCTTGAGTTCCCACAGGGTTCAATCAACTCCAGGCTGGCATTTTTCAACAATGCTTCAACTCCCTACTGCTGAGCCATAAGCTACTGTTTGGATTAAGATATCACACTCTTGGGAAACAAATTCTTTATTCTGTTACTAACCAAACACTGTCACTATGTTAGTACATACCTTTGCAGAAATAGGCTCACAACAAAAATGAAACAGCAGAGACCACTGAACACATCCCCATTACAGAGATTTGTCCTCAGAGACATGTACATTGGGCCCACTGGAACAGAGCACGTACCCTTCTCCAAGCTTCTCCAGTACATCAAACACTTCTTCAGGTTGTTTGGTTAAACTGTCTTCATCCAACTTCTTCAGCTGCCTGTACGGGCAAGAAGAGAGAAATTATGGCATTTAATTTTATGGCAGTTTGGGCTTTGCTGAAACAGAAGAATAAACAGCACAACTCAAACGTACAAAAGGCTTGGTATGAAGTAAATTGATTATCAAGTAAGTTTATTTCACCTGACAAGAAGAGTGAATATTATTAGCATCCAACAGCAAAAATGGACTGGGAATTACAAAAGAACAGAATGTTCTACAGCTCATCTTGATAGAAATGCATTCCAGGATCTCTGTGCTGGTGGTCACATCCCAGCACAGTACAGCAGAGTCTAACAGCTATTGAACATATCTGCTAAATTTCAATATCTGGAATGAAAGGATACCTACCAAGGCCAAGCAAAAGGGAACATCATCTTCCCTGATGCTCAAGAGTATGGGTGGAATACATTTGTTGGGAGAGCAAGAGGAAACACTGGTCTCACCTGTACATTTTTAACATCAAAAGTTCAGATCTTAACTTTGTGGGCCTGGATACATACTAGGAAAATTCTATCAGGAAAAAAGAAAAAGGAAACTGTATCTGACTACTGCAGTATCTTAAAGCCATGCCTCTTAAATGTATTGCTAATATGAGTCAGTTGAAATACTTCGTGGGGAAAAAAAAACATGCCATGTGATGTGATCCTGCACTTGGCCCCCCTCTCCCCTGGTACAGCTTTTAGGGAGATTCCATACACAAAGCAACAAGATCAATCATATTTGTTTCTGTCCACAGGGAAAGCTGTTCACCAAACCTTCTGAAACATAACAAAAAGTTCTGAAAACTAAGTATTGTATTGTCAATGATACAGTATTCAACTGCCCACAAACAAGCTCTTTCATTTTCACACCAACTAAAAAAAAAAAATTAAAATATCCCAAACAACAATAAAACACACGACAAAACCCCCTCCAATCTCCCCAAACCGGCTCATATGAGTTTTTGAAACACAGAAACTTATGAGTCTCAGAGCTTTTAGCACTGCCTGGTCTCACAGTGATCAGTGTTTAAAGTGAAATACGTGAGAACACCCGCAACTGTAAATTAGTCCTGAAAGCTCGAACCCCTACTGTTAAATATCAAGAGTCCAGTCACAGGCATACTAATTTTTAAACTAAATATATAACTTTTTTCCCCAATTTCTTCAGAAGCAGAGTGAGAAACCGCTCATTGATCCCTGGCTACTACATTCATGTACAAAAGCCACACAGGAGGAGCAGCTCGGGCATGGAGCACATACAATGGCTTCCTGAAGCAAAGGAAACATTATATAGAAGCAGACTCAGGAAGTGGTGAAATACTGAAAGTAGTCACTAGCTTCCCTGCACAGATAAGCATTAAACAGAATGTTACTTGCCCTTGTGAAAACAGGGAGGGAAGAAGGTGTGGGAAAAGGGGGGAGATGAAATTAATATATCCATCAGCAACCACATAAGCCACCATTTCCAAAGAGCCCAAAAAGTGGGGATGTGAGAGGCAGACCCCTCTTGCTGAAGTTGAGGCCTAAATTCTATCAGCATAAAAGGGGGAAAAAAGGCTTTTAACATACCCAGGCACAATAACCAGACAACCACCGTGCCTGCAGCAAACAACCTAATTTCTGCTATAGGCCAGGAGCCGAATTACTTTGTGCTGTCTGGCTCATGCAGAGCACTCGCTGCTGTCGGGCACACGCCGCCTTCCTCCTGGATGTTTATACAACGCGGATATAACAGCAGCACAAACCCAACCTCACCTTTGTTGTTATTCAGATCTAATCTGAATCACCTGCCAGCTAAGCACCGGCATATGCAATTACAGAATAAAACCCAGTTTTTGCTTTTAACAGACGATACATCGCTGTCCGTTTAACGAACCGAGCCAATCTCGCTGAGGAGCAGCGCCCGCAGCTTCCTTTGTTCGCCGCCGATTCCCCGGGCCCCAGCTGCCAGCCGCTGATAGGATTCCGACGGGGACACTTCATTCGAGCTGCCGCCGATCTCCAGCTCTCCCTCCGCAGCCCGGCCCTGCCTGGCGCTCCGAGATAGGCGGCTCATGGAGCTCAGCCCAAACCCCGGGATGCTCCGGGCCCGGCGGGACGGCGGAGGTGCCAGGGCAGGGCACCGAGCTGGGCACGGCCCCGGCGCCAGCGGACCCGCACGGAACTCACCCGGACAGAGACGAGAGGGAAAAACGAGCGACCGGGGCTCCGTCGGGACAGGTGGGCACAACCCCGGCACAGCCGCGGTACCGCTGCGAGCGCCCGCAGCCGCCGCCTTCTCCCCGGCTCTGCAGCTTGAGCCATTCCCCCACCACCTGCGCTCGGTGCTGTCCCAGCACTTGCCGGCGCCGCTCGGGGCGAAGCCACCGACCCCCGGCGCCCCTCCGGCCGGCTCGGAGCGGCCCCGCTCCCCCCGCTCCCCAGGCCGGAGCATCCCCGGCGGGGACGCGCCCCTCGCTTACCGGCGCGGGTTCCGCAGCTGCACCGTCTCCATGTCGGCGACTCGGCGATCGCGGCGCTCGGTCCCTCACCGCTCCACGGCTCCCCCTCCCCGCTCCATGGCTCCCCGCCCCGCCGCCGCTTCCGCCCGCCGCCGGATGCCGCGGGGAGCGCCCGCCCCGGCCCGCCGAGGGCGCGGCTTCCCGGGCGCGATGGCCGCGTCCCCCGGTGCGCTGCGCCGGGCCGGCAACGAGGAGTTCCGCCGCGGGCAGTACGGCCCGGCCGCCGCGCTCTACACGCGGGCGCTGCAGCAGCTGGAGGCGTCAGGTACGGGCGCGTCCCGGGGCGGGGGGCGGGCGGGCGGATCCCGGCTGGATCCCCGCTGGATCCCCGCTGGATCCCGGCTCTCCCGCGCAGGGGATGCCGCCGCCGAGGAGCGCAGCGTGCTGCTCGCCAACCGCGCCGCCTGCCACCTCAAGGACGGCGCCTGCAGCCTGTGCGTGGCCGATTGCTCCAGGTGAGCGGGGCCGGGGTCACCGGCGGGCCGGAGGGCGCTCGGCTGCTCCCCCGGCCCGCTTGTGCGGCCGCCCCGGAGCCGCCCTGGCTCACCCCGCTGTGCCCCCTCTGCCGCAGCGCCCTCGAGCTGGTCCCGTTCGGGATCAAGCCCCTCCTGAGGCGGGCGGCGGCTTACGAGGCTCTGGAGAGGTACGCGCTGGCCTACGTGGACTACAAGACCGCGCTGCAGGTGGACTGCTCCGTGCAGGCGGCGCACGATGGAGTCAACAGGTAACGCTGCCGCCAGCCTTGCTGCATCCCTGCAGCGCTGTCAGGAGCAAGCTGGGCCCCAGCTTGAGCAAAGCAAGGCCTGGCCATGCTCCCTCTGCCTGCCTGAGCCCATAGGTCCTTTCAAGATGCTGGCTGATTTCTCTGGGACTGTTTCTGCTTTGCTCAGTGTCTGGTCTAAGGGAAATAGTAAAATACAAGCTCTAGTGCCCTATCCTTTAAGCATCTCAATGCTGACTGCATTTACAGGCTGCTGTAGTCCTGTTCTCTTCCTGGTGCTTTCTGTTTCTGTTCATGGCTTGCCAGACTGAGGAGAGAAATGCATGTCTCTTGCTCACCTGAGCACTGACAGCCCCAGCCCTTGTCCTGTGATATTTTTAGCCCTGTTGACACAAAGAAGATCTTTTCATAAATGTCCTGCCTGTAGAAGGAACCTAGTTGAGATGCATGTAAAAAGATCAGGGGAGAGGTGCTGTCCTTGGTACACAAACTGGATTAAAAGTGACCCTGCTGGCTACTGTGTGGCCCATCCAGCCAACAGCCAGGGTGACTGGGAGCATCTCTTCCAGGATGACTAAAGCCCTGCTGGAGAAGGATGGTGTGAACTGGCGTCAGAAGCTGCCGCCAATCCCCACAGTGCCTGTTTCTGCCCAGACAAGGTGGAGCGTTCCTTCTCCTGGAGCCTCTGGGGCAAACACTCCTCCTGCAACTGCACCACGGGGAAAACCAGGTGGGAGCATGCCCTTGGGCTGGGCACAGAGCCCTGCAGCTCACAAGGGTGATGAACAAGGCAGCTGCCACACCTGCTCGGTGTGTCTGCAGCTGGGGCTGCAGCCTGGAGAGACCCAGCCCAGGCCACAGCCTTTTCATTGATTCTGGTCCCCTTGGTGTCTCATCTCTGGTATGGGGGTATTTGTGATTTCTGGGATGCTGTGATGTTCTTGTTGGTTTTACAGTGTTCTGTATCCTTCCACACTGTTTCCAGACCAGACTGCTGCTGGCATGGAGAGAGCTCGAACTCTGAAGGAAGAAGGAAATGAACTTGTAAAGAAAGGAAACCATAAAAGAGCAGTTGAGAAGTACACTGAGAGCTTAAAGCTCAACCAGGAATGTGCAACTTACACCAACAGGTACTGCTCAGCTCTTTGCCCAAGTACTTCTTGGCCCTTTATAAAGGTCACTGTGGTACTTCTGGCAGAGCTGTCTAACGTTTGCACCCAAACTAACAAATAAAACAAAACCACCTACACACATCCACCCCAAGTGCAGTCTCCCCTGTTGTGTAACATTCTTTGATCAGGTACTGCAAAACCCTTGGAGACAGTGAAGGGCCTACTCCCTTTAATGCTTTGTCTGCCAGGACTGGGGTATTCTGAGTGGCCTGTGTTGTCCTACAAACCACAAAGTACTGTACTTAGAGTACTTCTAAGGCAGTTGCAGCAAGCAGAACATATGCTGCACTGGTATAGACAGGAACCTGCATCCTCAAAGTGCAGGTTCTTTAGCTTCAGGGTCTTTAGCTTCAGAGCAGGTTGCTCTAAACATCCTCCTTTTTTTTTTTCCTCTTTAAATCGAAAAACCATTTCCTTTCTTTTCTCCTCCTTTTAACTGAAATAAACTTGGGCTCAAGAAGTAAGATGACATAACGTGTGAGAATCAAGGCTGGTTTTGGAGCCCAGCTTTGTGCTCCACTGGGACCTGCTCTGTATGCTGCAGCAGTAGGTGCTGTTTTCAGCCAGAGATCTCTAACCAGGTATCTGTTTTGCAGAGCTCTCTGTTACCTGACCCTGAAGCAATACAAGGAGGCAGCACAGGACTGCACAGAAGCTCTGAAGTTAGATCCTAAGAACGTGAAGGCACTCTACAGGCGTGCTCAAGCATTTAAAGAACTGAAGGTAAGTGAGGAGTTTTTGAAGGGTTTTAGGCTAGGACTAGATGCCTGGTTGTGCATAATCAGAGCCATAGGTGTCCTTTAGAACTTGTTTCTGTGCTAGACAACATCTGCCAACAGGTAGCTGAGACCTGTATGGGCTGAGAGGGCATTTTCTTTCACATCAGTATTTGGATCTCATGAGTTTTTCCACATCAGGTCCCTTTCCTAGAGATGCTGAAAGCAGCTGTGTGTTGTGTTGAGCTTTATCTTTTTGTGTCTCCTGAGAAATTCTGGAGGCAGCGCTGGACTATGCAGTGCATTGGTCTTGGACTCAGAACCCACCTGAGTCATGAAATTATCTTCTCAGCCCTAGTTTAAGCATGTTTTAGAACAGCTACATCAATGCCAGGGCTTGATTAGTTATAGAGAGGGAGTCACAGGCTTACCTGTGTTGCCTTTGCCTCTGTTCCTGCCTCTGTTCTCCAGCCTTAAACTGCATTTTTAACACACTAACCCTTAAAAAATCCTCTCTTTCTAGGATTACAAATCAAGTATTGCTGATATCAAGAGCTTGTTGAAAACTGAACCAAAGAACACAGCTGCACTGAGATTACTTCAAGAACTGAACAGAGCCTAGGGTAACCAAGCAACAAGGAAAGCTTTGTTTTCCACTGCAGGAGAAAGCTTTTTCCCTTCTGATGTTGTTACAGGGACCAATCTTGATGCAGGATCGGTATTGAAATCTATCTTCCACTGCTGCTGAGATCTAAGAGGTTCTGTACCAGCATAAGGAATGTTAAGACACAATCTGTATCAAACTCTATTAATCTGGCTCTAAGATCATGCATAGTTTTAATGCCCTTCCCTGGTTGAAGTCAACTTGCCTGTAACTATTGGCCTCAGGGACTCTTTCCATGCTGGCTGAGATGCATGTGAAGTGGCTGTTCTTTCTGAAGAGCTGCAAACAGAGGGTTTTTTGTCCTTATTCAGGTGACAGTTTTGCTGCATTTGTGCTGCTATTACTGAAATAAGGTGGCTGCAAGAACTGCTGTAGTTGCCAGAGCACCACATACCCTTCTTGTAACGGGGGCACAGTTACTTGCACAGGGCTGAGCTTGTTCCCTCGCCCCCTTGATGCCTGCTGGCCCTCAGCTGGGTTCTGCTGCTTAGTGTGGCTGGGCAGATGTTTACAGTAGCAGCTTTCTTTAGTTATTCTGCACATTTAAGAAAACAGCAGCAAGTTAACCCTGCCTTGTTACACTGTGCACTATTACAGATTCTGGGTGCTTGGGAATTTTGCAATGGTTTTTTGTCTTTTTTTTAAAAAAAAACCACTTTAGCTCCTCTGTGCCTTTTGGAGCAGTTGCTGTGGGGTGTTACAGGGAGGAGAATTTTCAGTAACATCCCAGCTGAGGTCTGGCTTACTACTTCAATGCATGTTTATGCTTTTTGGTCTTCTCCTGATCTGGTATTGATGGCACTGATTTAAAATGGTAGGTAAAGAGATAGTTGGAGTTACTCTGTGAACTGTTAAAACCATTAAAGCCATGTTTATTTTCAGTTTAGAGCTGTGTTTTTTATGGGATGGAGGGTATAGGGGAACTGAAACACTTGTTTAACCACTTCACACTGTCCCCCCTTTTTGTTAGAGCACTTCAAGCACTGCACAGGGCCCTGCTCTTTCAGACAGTGGCCTCAGCTCTTAGTGGCCATTAAAGTTAGGGCTCAGAACAAGAAAACCTATAGCTCCAGGGACACTGGGGCTGGGAAGGACATGCCAGTGGGAAGCACAGCACTGCATTAGGGTTTCCAACCATTTTTCACTTGCACACTGCTTCAGCTAGTAAGTCCAGATGCTGGACAATGCTAGACCTGATCCACCTCACAATAAAGGCCAGGAGATACAGAAGCCAGCCCTGAAGTCAGGGTTCAGGTATCTTAGTTTCCCACCTTGCTTCTCCCAGCAGTCAGTGTTTGAGACAGGTACTGCACCAAATTGAATTTAGAGAGCAGACAATCCCTCTAATGCCATTAAAGACAAAGACTTCTTCCCTTAGCCTGACATTAAATAGCTTTTTGTAGGTCCCAGGGCTGTACTCCATCAGCTGTAATGGACCAGGGCTTGAAACAACTCCTCCCTGAGGGCCACAAATGGCTCCATTCACTCCACTCCTGCTTCCAAGTGAGACAGCTCCATTGATCCCTCAGCCAGCATCTGCCCAGGCTCCTCAGAGGTGGGATGGCTTCCAGGGTGGGGAAGCACACAGCAGCACACAGAGGAGCAGAGGAAGGTCACAGAATCCAGGAGCAGGACTGGCTTCACCTAGTCAAGAGCAGTCCTTGTAAGAGCCCTGCTGTTCTCTGAGGACAGATACCTGCCCTGTTCAACTGCAGCTCCCTGCAGCAGCAGCAGCATTCACCCTCCTTCCCCTCACAGCAACATCAGTGCTGTTTGTGCCTCATCTCCAGGGCTTTCCCCAGCAATATCACCAGGCAGGCAAAGGTCAAGCA